ACTCTCGATACCACGCCGCTGCAGGACCTTTCAGGTTTGCCACGAGTAGCGAAAGCGGTCGTTGCTGAGATGTATCGTCTCCGTACTTGATGTTCTTGGACTCAAAGTACAGCTTGGCGCTGAACATGTAGTCCGCGACGTCATCGTCTTTCGTACCTGAGAACTTCGGCATCATGATGCCTTTGGCGCGGTACTCACGTGAGTCATGGGCTGAAATGTCAACTGGTTGCGATTGCGATGTCGCTGCTTGCTGCTGTTGCATCAAGGTAGCAGCCATCTGGCGTTGTAGTTCTGCCGTCTGGGCCATGAACTGCTGCTGCTCTCTCATCATAGCGTTAATGGACGCAAAGAGCTGCTGCGCGGACTCAGCATGCATCGTAGGCTCGTCCATGAAGGTCTCGTTCGCCTACGCGTAAACGTCGTTCACTAGATGCAAGGGGCGCGCAGTTCCCACAGGCAAATCAATCACAAAAGGAAGCTCTTTACCCGAAGACTCAAAGCTGTAAGCCCCAACGAAGTCACAGAGGGTACAGGTGCTCCACCGGGAGCTCTGTTTCCGTCAATTCCTGAGAGGGAACCCTTGCCACTGTCAGTTCCCCGAAGGAAGCAACTGGTGCAATTCCGACCGACGCTAGCTCGAGCCCGCCTCGGTAGCCCTAAACACTCCTACTACAACGCCCGGAACGGCCCCGGCGCAGATGTTACACTCGGCTGCACACTAGCAAGTTGGCAAGTGCGCTGTGGAAGTGGTCGTGCGTGGGTGGTGACGTAGACGTGCGCTGGACACGTGTCTGCGTGGCAATGGACGATTGGATGGAATTGACCAATTAGGTGTCGACACGAATATGTGTGCGACAAATGGGTTCTCTCTCCCCCAACGAAGAAAGCTGGCGGCGACGACTCGATGGTGCAGACAGGAACAGACGAAACACGCACGTGAAGCGGTCTCCAGAAGCAAGAGGACGGGTCGAAGAAAGCCACGGACGCGTTCGATTTGAACGAAGGAAAAACTTGAGCGCTCGAGGTGAGCCGAAGGTAGCTAGAGCGTGCACGCCGGCGACGCAAGTAAAAAGCAGAAACTGGAACAGAGGTGTGAACTTGGAGGGGTCGGCAGAGAGAAGAGCGCGCTGGATCGAGGAAGTGCTACCAAATGTAAGTTTCTTGCGTAGAGTTGCTGTGGCTTGCGTTGTTTGAGGTAAAAACCAGAATGATCAATTAAATGCTAATCTCTTTTCTGCTGTACTGAGCTCTACCTCGAGGCACTCTATGGTGCGCTGGTCTGGATATGCAGGTGGTTGGCTGTGGTGCGGCGGAGGCACCTCATTGCGCAAACCCCGTAGGTATGCAAGCCGGCTGTGGCGTCGTGCTGGGCCTGACTAATCGGTTGTTGTCATTGTGTGCTGCTGATCATTACAATCCCCCCGACTTGAGCAAAACCCGGCATCTTGAACGTTGAAGCCGTCGAAATGAAGTTGAAGTTGGTAGTACCGTAGATCCCGAAACAGGAATAGTACCGTGGCAGCTCTAATGAAGAGACTTCCACTAAGCGCAGGTAGCTTGGTTGCGGCTGCGAAGGTCCTTGAGCAGTGCCTGCCAGTGGCTCACGTGCTTGATCTGGCGTTCTCGCTCCCACTTGTTCTCGTGATGTGGTAACCCGTGCCACTTCACCAAGTACTCCGGCTGACGATTGAAGATGCGCTTCTTGATCAGAGCCTCGATGACATGCAGCGGCTCGCCGTCATCGTCGAAAATTACTAGCGTCGACTTCGGAATGGACCGACCTTCGAAGCGACTTGGATTGCTCGTGTACGGTTTGAGCTTGTCGATGTTGAAGCGTGGACTCAAGTGTTTGAGATTGGCTGGTAGTTTGAGGAGTGCAACATTGCCTCGGAGCTCTTCGATGGGGAACGGACCAATGAAGCGTGGAATGAACTTTCGGGATCTCAGCGTCGTTTCTGCTGTCGCATGCGAGATGTTCAAGTCCTGCGTCGAGAGTAAAGCAAGATCACCCACTGAAAACGGATTCTCGGCACGTCGTTTGTCGTAGAACTTCTTCTGGGTCGCTTGGGCTTCCAAAAGGTTCTTTCGTGCACGCTCAATCACTTGCTGCCGGTGCTGAACGAAGCGCGAAGCGTACTCCACTCGTGTTCTTGCGACTCGCTCAGTGTCCTGCCTGGTACCCAACGGATTTTTTGGCTGACGGCCGGTGTCCACGAAGAACGGAGGCAGCTTCGACGAGGTCGACACCAATGTTGCATGAGCATACTCGATCATGGGCAAGTGTTCGTTCCAGTCGTTCCCATGGTAAGAGATTGAGCAACGTAGAGAGTCTTCAAGTGTCCGATTTTGACGTTCCGTCTGGACGTCGGCTTGAGCTCGATGCTGAGTGGTCATTGCCGTCCTGATATTCATCAAACGCACCAGCGCATTCCAGAATTTGGATGTGAACTTTGGGTCCCGGTCGGAAATGATAGTCGACGGAATGCCATAGTGCCGAATGACGTTGTTGAAGAATAACGTCGCCGTATCCTCCGCAGTTGCCGTCGTGTGGGTAGGAATGTAGACTGGCCTTTTGGAAAGCTTGTCAACGACGACCATGATCGCGTCAAAGCCATCAGATACTGGCAAGTGCGTGATGAAGTCGGTCGAGACGACGTCCCAGCATGCGGAGGGTAACGGAATTGGCTGCATCTTGCCTGCCTTGCGTCCAGTGTTCGACTTGTATCTCATACACGACTCGCAACTTTGAACGTAGCCCTTGATGTCAGCATCCATGGTTGGCCAGAAGTACCACTGAGCGGCAGCTAGCTGTGTACGACGAACACCTGGGTGCGCCATGATGGCTGCATCATGCACGTTGTGGATAACATCCAC